GAGCACTTCTGGGGCACTTGTAGGAGGTCAGGCATGGGCCAGGCACCAGGGACTCAGCCCACATCTGTGGTGATGTTCATTTGCAGCCCTGACTGCCTTAAGGTGCCCACAGTAAATACAAGCTGCCTGCACTTGTCTCCAGTTTGGATAAGAAAAACAGTTTTGCATTCCTGGATTACAATTAGGATCTATCCTTAAAGTAGGATGTCTCCTTGTCTCCCTCTAATGTAGCAATTCTTAATCCACTGATCAAAATCCACGGGGGACGGAGGGAGGGCAAAGCTTCAGAGAGCATGATGTGCCCCGTGGGCACTTGCCCCATTGGATCGGAACTCCCTGACTGCACCCTAAAGAGCCTCTGCTGGAGAGGGAGTGTTGCCGGCATCCCTCTCATCATCCTCACATCACTGAAGGTGATGGTGCATAGCAAATAATAAATGTTAGCTGGTGTTGTCATTGGGTTAACTATTATTCTGAGTGACTCTCAAAACAATCCAGTATAAGGTGGGAATTGCAGAATGTTATTATCCCCAATTTAATATAATAAAACTCACAGCCTGCTCTTCTCAGAAGTCATGCCCCACACCACTCCAAACACCCACACATGCATGCACGCACGCACGGGGACCATGTTCTTTCATTAGTGGTCTACTAAGGTAGAAAATACTCAACGCCAACTGCCAGAATAAGTATGATTCTAGGAAGAGATTCATGATGGAAAGGCCAAGGCAGTTATTTTATAATAAGCTTGGAGGGCCAGAGGAGCAAGGGTCAGAGACTCCAGGTTACAGCCTTTCCGAGAGGTGAGGTAGGGGGAGTATAAGTCAGTGAGTTTGAATTTATGCCATAGCAGGGTAGTAAGTAGATATAAGAGTGTGGTTGTGCTGACTTAAAAGGACATTCCTGCTGTGTGGTTTGGGCTGGCATGTGTGAAGGGACACCTTAGTGCTTACTGTGACCTGTGACCAGGATGAGTCGAGGCAGCAGCTATTTCCCCACGGCCAGACTGGAGAGGTGGCTGCAGAATTGTCCCCCTGCGACTATGTACTGTCCATCCCAGCTCTGAGGCTGACAGTTCCTTCTCCTGCCTTAATGAGGGTCCAGTCCGCCCTCTTTAGCATCACATGGTGTTCCAGTTATCTGTCATTGCTTAACTAACCATCCCAAAATTTCGTGGCATAAAACAACATCAATTCTAGTATGCCTGCAATTCTGTGAGTCAGGAATTGGGGCAGAGCATGACAGTTCTGCTCTTCTCTGCTCAACAGTATTCGGGGCCTCCACTGGTGGGACTCAGATGGCTGCAGATGCTAGGACAGCTCGACTAGGGCTATCTCTCTGAGCCTTGGGTCCTCTCTATGTGGCGTCTCCTGGAACTTCAATGTCCAGGATGACTCCTTCACTCCGTAATCGGGAGCCTTCAACTGCTGTTTCTCTCCAGGGTGCCTCTCCCCGTGGCCAACTTGGACATCCTCACAGCATGGTCTTCTCAGGGTGGTCACACTTTCTATGCATGGCTGGTTTCCTCAGAGTAAGTGTTACAAGAGGCCCAGGTGGAAGCTGCAAGGCCCCTTGCAATCTAATCTTGGAAATCCCAGCAAGTCATTTCTGCCACATTCTACTATCGGGAAAGTCATTAAAGCCAATCCAGGTTCACGGAGGTGGGGGAACAGACTCACCGGCTCAACAGGGAACGTGGCATGGACAGGGAGGGGAAAAAATGATGGCGGCCATCTTGGAGACAAGCTGCCCCACATAAGTAGGGTTAAAACCATGGGCTTAGAGTCACAAATATTGGTTCATATCACAACTTGGTAACTTTCTAGCTCTGTGATGTCAGGCAAGTTATTTAACCTCTGTGAGCCTCAATTTCCTTATCTATAAAGTGAGAATAATAATACTCTACTACAGATGGTTATCATGAGACTTAAATGAGATAAATTTAGTGCTTGGCAGAACGCCTGATACGTGTTGAGTCCTTACTTTACAGTAGGTATACTACCTATAGTAATAACTTAGTAGTGCTATTACTTCAGTTTGTCATTTGGCTGTTCATTCACTCAGCAAGCATCTACTGAGTGCATTCAGTGTCTCAGACACTGGCCTCCTCACAGCAACAAGGATAATATACGGAAGGCAGAGGTGAGCTGGGCTTTCAGGCATTTTGAACGGCGTCACTGGCTGTGCAGTGCCAGCCGCTATCGTTTGGGTCGGCAGGCCTGGCTCAAGGAGGAAGCAGGGGCTTGTCACCTAAGCCTCTCTTTGCAATATTATCTTTGGCCTTGTCCCAGTAGAGCCTCCTGGTGTCACAATAACAACTCTCCTCCCGTTTTAAACAGTTGGGCTGTTACTAAGGAGAGGCAGGAGAAATGAACCAGCCTCCCAGTTCAAACGTGTGTCCTCAGGTCCCATCTGACAAGCGTCTGTTCCCCTCAGGGCCATGGTGTGTTGGTCGTGCAGCACACGCTCAGCATTCAAAAGCCCCGTCAGCAACTAGCTGCTCCCTGCAGCTTGTACCCAGGGGCCTTCCCTGACATCTAAAATCCATAGCTGAAATATTGAGGTGACAGAAAGTCTAGGAAAGGTAACAACGTCCAAGTCTTTCCTTACATAATCATAAAAGGACTCTGCAAAGCAAAGCATTCTAAAATAAAGCAGAAAGCAAGACTTCAAGGAGAATGCAAGCCAAACCAAAGGAGAGGCCATTTGGCAGGAAACCTCAGTCCCACAGTCTGATCTCTGGGTCTTATTTGATTACTTTCCGAACACCAGGAACTAATTAAAAATGAAGGAGCAGAGCTTCTAACCCAATACCTTTAAAAACCTTTAGGCTTCCTATAATAGCCACGTGAAAAATCTCACTTACTCAAATGAGCATCTTCGACTCATCTGAAGACACTGACGCTTTAAGTAAATCTCACTTTCAGGAACTTGTTTTTTAGGTTAACGATAAAGGAATTCACAGTCATGAAGCTCCACTGTCCCAGCATCTAAAAGCCGGATGGTATAGAACAGGGGTCAGCAAACTTTTGAGACATAAGAGCTGCCAGGGGTCAGCAAACTGTGGCTCGCAAGCCTCTGAAGTAAAATTGAAAATGAAAATAAAACAAAACTATCATAGTTTAATTTATAAAATTTTTAAAAGATATTATTCACATAATGGTGATTATGTAAAAATATATTTATGGCTCTTGGATAATTTTTAAGTTGTTGTGAGGGACAGGATTGGCTCTTCCAGGGGTTGGCAAACTTTTGAGACGGAACATACCCAAAGAGCCGCATGTGGCTCGCGAGCCGCAGTTTGCCAACCCCTGGGGATAGAATCACTGAATCTGTCACATATCCCTTAGCCCAGTTGCCCACCCAGAGCACGAATACCTGGTCCATACCCCTGACAGATGGACACCAACCATCTTCACGGTAACGGTGACCAAGACCAAGAGCCCACAACCTCACATGGAGGTTGCAGAAGTCAGAAGCCTAGTCTGCCTTTCAGAGGGGACCCATTGTGCACGAGGAGGCAAAGCTGACAAGAACGTGAATGCCAAGTGTAGGCAGTCGCAGGGCTCAGCCTTCTTTGTGCAATGATGGCCAGAGTTGTCTGCCAGCCCTCCTCCACTATCATTTGTTGGTGTGTTACTAATTTACTAGTCTGACTCATCCTTGGAGGCAAATACAGGCTCACGTGTTCATTGCAGGAAGTGCTCGGCTGGCTGTGTAAGGTTCGGTGTCTCCAGCAAGCACACATCTGTCTTGTGGGGCCGTTATAGCTCAGCAAGTAGCTCAAAGGAGAACACACATCCTCTGTCACACCAGCTGTCATGCTCAGCGGTGTGTTCCCTCTTGGGTCTAAGACCATTTCAGTCTGGCATTGGTCTGAAATCTGGTTGGCCTAGAAGTCCATGGGTCTCTTCCCTGTGGCCTCTGAAGGCCATCCTGCACCTGCCGCTCCATCTTCATCAAGTGAAGTCCGTCCCAAACAGTTCTCCTGAGAATCATGGGAATTAAGCTATTCCTGGGAGAGAGGGCATAGGTGGAAAATCAACATAATCAGAATGCTCTTTCTGTGGTTTTGAAATACTATAAACAAACATTCATCAGAATGAAAAGTTGGGATAGACCACACCTTCCCTGTGACCAGTAGGTGTCCACTTAGAATGTGCTGTGACGTCACGGGGTGTTGTTGAGACCCTGCCTCTTTGGGACCAGACATATGTTCTCAGAGAAGACAGGGTGGGAGCTGGGCTGGGAAGAGAAGGCAGAAATAAAGGTACGTGTCTGGAGAACAGAAAAGAAAGCGAGAAGCCATCTTGAGGGGAGGGATTGAAGGTCTGAAGAAAACCTTTCTCCCAGGCGCTGCTTGGCTCAGCATTCGGGCCCGACAGACTCTCCTGTCTCTTGCTGATTTGATGATAAAATATGGCGTGGACCCACAGGGAGAGCAAACGCCTCAAGAAATAGATGGATAATTGGCTCTGTTTGCGTGTTCGCTGCTATAACTGTGAGACGCCACACCAGCATGACTAATGCCTCTCCCCTCCGCCTAAATTAGATTTTGATTGTGTTTCAGAGATGTTCACTGACTCACAGATGTTTGAGGTAAAAAGACCAAAGCTCTGAGGAACACCTCCCGTGGAGTGTGTGGGATTGTCCTCACAGGCATGGCTGAGTCGTACCCAGGACTCAGCAGCAGGCTCCGAATAACCACTTCCCTCCAAGGCCTGGGGAGCAAGCAGCTACCCATGGAGTGGGCTTCCCATGGTGAGAAGTGGGGAGTCGGCGCCTCAGCGTGGCTGTAAGCAAGTGTGTCGCATCAGTGACTAATGCCTCCCATAGACCTCAGTTGGACCGGGAGTAGCCTTTCCGCACAGAATTCCACTGACTCACGGCCACATCAGGTGGAGTAGTTCAAGGTCCTCGTTGGCTCACCTCCCGCAGGGTTCCTCAGCCACTGGACTCGTCCGATCTGCAGGGTAAATGCTTTCTCGTTTCTCTTGCAGAACTTAGCCTACGAAATCATCCTAACACTGGGACAGGCATTTGAAGTCGCTTACCAGCTCGCACTACAAGCAAGAAAAGGGGGACATTCCTCCACACTTCCAGAGAGCTTTGAAAACAAACCCTCCAAGCCCATCCCCAAGCCCCGCGTTAGTATTCGCAAGTCAGTGGTAAGTTGAAAAGATATAGATGTTCTGGAAACCTTGAGCGGGAGGGAAAGGGGGCTGCTCGCTGGGCCCTGTGGGGTGTGGGTTACCAGTTAGAATCCAGGGGCTGCCCTTGGTCGTCTCCCTGGCTTCCTCCCGGCAGCTGTCCACCCTCCTCTCTGTCCAGTTCCTGAAAAGACTGGGGGACCCTCTGCCGGAACCTGGAGGCTCCCAGAAAATTCCACTTTCTCTGTCACCTGTGGCAGCCCTGTGAGGGGGACTGGGTGCTGCTGCTGTCCTTGGTGAATCCCCTGAAGGTCCCAGCCTAGGACCGATGTCATTCCAGAGGCTTTGGCTGCCATCCCACCAGAGGACAAAGCCTCTCACAAGCCCCTGGCCAGCAGAGAGGTTGGCAGAGGTTCATGGTGAAGACGTCCCTGGTTCCCAGCTAGAGGAAGCAAGACGCACAGGCTGTGGGCAGGTCAGAGCCCAGCTGCTCCATGGGGAGGCCTAGGCGCCTGGCCCTGGGGCTGTCTCCCACATCTGAGGCTTCCTGCAGAGTGGAGACTGTTCAGAAGCTGCCGTCCCTCCTCCTTGTCATCTGCCTTCCTCCAGGAATTTCCTCCCCTGCCCTCCCACACGCTCTGCAGACATCCTGTCTTAACAGACTTTCATGCCTTCAAAGCAGCCTCCTCTGGTAGTAGCAATCCCCAGAAGCGGGAATGTTCCCAACCGGCCTCCCATCTGGTTTCTGCTCCGGCTGCCTGCGCTGTGGCATCCTAGAAACGCTGGGACGCGCGGGGCAGGCAGGCATCCCCCAGATGCGTCACTCTCACAAGCACATAGCCTTCCATCTGTCACTCTCTGTTCCTCCCTGCCACCCCCAGTCTCCCCAGGGTCACGGGGGAGTGTAAGATTATTAATGTTTGTAGAGAGGCACCTTCCTTTGTGACCTATGCGGCTTCTTGTCGACAATCTTCTTTTTGGTGTCTACTTCTGTCACCATTCTTGGCCACTTCAGCATCCACAGGATGGTCCCTCCAGCGCCCGGCCCCTCTGTTCCTTGCCGGCTCACTCTGGATCCTTTCCTCCACCCCACCTCAGCCGTTCATGCCCATGCGCGTCCCTCATCGCTGCTCGGCACCAGGAACGGCACATCCCCTGAAAACCTTTGCTTCAAACACCATGTCCTGACCCCTTGGCCCTGCCCACCTCACATCTCTCCGGTCCCACTGGCTCCCAATCCTGACTCACTCCAGACTTACATGCTCCATTTGTTCTGCGATATTTAACAGGCATCTGAAACTTAGTATGTCCCGAACAGATTTCTTGATTTTCCCCTCAGAGCTGTTTCTCTCTCCCGATCTTTCCCAGCTCAGTAAACAACAGAGCCATTCACCACGTTGCTCAAGCCATAAATCTACAAGTCATCCTTGATGCCAGTCTTCACCTCACCGTGTCCAACCCATGAGATTCCATCCACTCAGCGCCTAAAACATGTCTCCATCCACTCCTCTGCATTTCCACTGTCACTCTCCCCTTCCAAGCTCCCACCGCCGCTGCTCTGCAGAACGACTGTAGTACACCTCCCAACAGCCTCCCTCCCCGCACACGGCACCCAGGGGCATCGTGAAGCACACATCACATCATGGCCCCACTGCCCTAGTTTCCCACCCCGCTCCTCTGTGACACCCAGGCCTTCCTGTTCCCTCCACCTGGCACAGTTTCCCCTAATTTCAGCACGCTGACTCCAGCCTCTCATTCAGCTCTCAGGTACATAAAGAGGCTTTTCCTGGACCACCCCACCTGCAGTAGACACCTGGTCATGCTCAAGTCCATCACCCGCTTTTATTTTATATTTGTTTAAGCTGCTATTATTGTCTTTTCTTCTTTTTATTAGTTTCAGGTGTACAAAACAACATAATAGACATTTATACCCCTCACAAGATGATAACCCCCTTCCCCCAATCTAGTACCCCTCTGACATCATATATAGCTGTTTCAGTTCCATTGACTCTATTCATATGCTGTACTTTACATCCCGTGACTATATATATATAATTAGAGCTGACATTCAATATTATTCTACTTCAGCTTCAGGTGTATGATGCAGTGGTCAGGTATCTACACAGTCTATGAATTGATCCCCCCGATATGTCCAGTAACCGTCTGGCACCCTAGTCTTTACATTATTGTTATATTCCCCATGCTGTATTTCATATCCCCGTGACTATATTGTGATCACCAATTTGTACTTTCTAATCCCTTCACCTTCTTCCCTCTCCCATCTAGCAACCATCAGTTTTTTCTCTATATCTCCGAGTCTATTTCTGTTTTGTTTGCTCATTTATTCTGTTCTTTAGATTCCACATATAAGTGAGATCATATGGTGTTTATCTTTCCCTGCCTGACTTATTTCACTTAACATAATATCCTTTAGGTCCATCCATGTTGTTGTAAATTTATTTTTAATGGCCTAGTAACACTCCATTTTATAAATGTACGACAGATTTTTATCCAATCATTTATTGATGGGCACTTAGGTTGTTTCCATATCTTGGCTATTGTGAATAATGCAATAAACATAGGGGTGCATGTATTTTTTTGAATTAGTGTTTTAGGTTTCTTTGGATAAATACCCAGGATTGGAATTGCTGAGTCATAACATAATTCTATTGGGTTGTCGAAAAAGTCATGACGTATTTTTTCTGTTTTTCATTTCAAAAATGTGTCATGACTTTTCCGACAACCCAATATTCGTAATTTTTTGAGGAACTTCCATACTGATTTCCACAGTGGCTCAACCAATTTGCAATCCCACGAATAGTGCATAAAGGTTCCCTTTTCTCCACATCCTCGCCGACACTTGTTGTTTGTTGATTTATTGATGATAGCCATTGTGACAGGAGTGAGGTGATATCTCATTATGGTTTTTAATCTGCATTTCTCTAATGATTAGTGATGTTGAGCATCTTTTCATATATCTGTTGGCCATCTGTATGCCCTCTTTGGAGAAATGTCTCTTCATGTCCTCTGCCCATGTTTGTTTTTTTGGTGTTGAGTTGTATGAGTTTTTATAAATTTTGGATATTAACCCCTTATCAGATGTATCATTGGCAAATATCGTCTCCCATTCAGTAGGATGTCTTTTTGTTTTATTGATGGTTTCCTTTGCTGTGAAAAAACTTTTTAGTTTCATGTAGTCCCACATGTTTATTTTTTCTTTTGCTTCCCTTGCCCACGGGGATGTATCAGTAAAAATATTTCCAGGGGTAATGTCTGTGAATTTACTTCCTATATTTTCTTCTAGGAGTTTTATGGTTTCAGGTCTTACATTTAAGTTTTTAATCCATTTTGAGTTTATTCTTGTATATGGTGTGAGAAGATGGTCCAGTTTTTTGTTGTTGGTTTTGTTTTTTGTTTTTATGCATGCATGCATGCATCTGTCCAGTTTTCCCAGCACTGTTTATTAAATAGACTGTCTTTACCCCAGTGTAAAGTCTTGTTTCCATTGTCATAGATTAAATGACCATATAGGCATGGATTTACTTCTGGGCTCTCTATTCTGTTCCATTGATCTATGTGCCTGTTTTTATGCCAGTACCATACTGTTTTGATTACTATAGCCTTGTAGTATGACTTGATGTCGGGTAGCATGATACCTCCCACTTTGTTATTTCTCAAGATTGCCATGGCTATTCAGGGTCTTTTATGGCTCCACATAAATTTTAAGGTTATTTGTTCTAGTTCTGTGAAAAATGTCATTGGTAATGTGATAGGGATTGTGTTGAATCTATATATTGCTTTAGATTGTATGGATATTTTAACTATATTATTTCTTCCTATCCATGAGCATGGCATATGTTTCCATTTATTTGTATCTTCTTTAATTTCTTTCTTCAATGTCATAATTTTCTGAGTACAGGTCTTTTACTTTCTTGGTTAAATTTATTTCTAAGTATTTTATTATTTTTGAAGAAATTGTAAATGGGATTGTTTTCTTAATTTCTCCTTCTAATAATTTGTTATTGGTGTATACAAATGCAACTGATTTCTGAATATTAATTTTGTATCCTGCTGCTTTACTAAATTCATTTATCAGTTCTAATAGTTTTTTGGTGGAATCTTTGGGGTTCTCTCTATATATAGTATCATGTCATCTGCAAATAATGACAATTTTACTTTCTCCTTTCCAATTTGGATGCCTTTTATTTCTTATTCTTGTCTGATTGCTATGGCTAGAACTTCCAGGACTATGTTAAATAAAAGTGGTGAAAGTGGGGTTCTTTGTCTTGTTCCTGATCTTAAGGGGAATGGTTTTAGCTTTTCCCCATTGAGTATGATGTTAGCTGTGGGGTTTCTCATGTATGGCCTTTATTATGTTGAGATATATTCCCTCTACTCTCACTTTGCTTAGCGTTTTTATCATAAGTGGATGCTGGATTTTGTCAAATGCTTGTTTTGCATCTATTGATATGACCGTATGATTTTTATTTTTCGTTTTGTTAATGTGGTGTACCACTTTATTTGATTTCCAGATTTGAACCAACCTTGCATGCCAGGAACGAATCCCACTTGATCGTGGTGTGTGATCTTTTTAATATATTGCTGAATTCAGTTTGCTAATATTTTGTTGAAGATTTTGCACCTATGTTCATTAGGGATATCGGCCTATAGTTTTCTTTTTTTGTAATGTCTTTGTCTGGTTTTGAGCTCAGGGTAATAGTAGTCTCGTAAAATGAGCTTGGGGCCTTCCCTTCTTCTGGATTTTTTGGAATAGTTTAAGGAGAATGGGTGATAATTCTTTTTTGAATGTTTGGTAAAATTCACCTGTGAAGCCATCTGGTCCAGGACTTTTGTTTGCTTGGAGCTTGTTGATTACTGATTCAATTTCGTTGGTAGTAATCGGTCTGTTCCGATTTTCTGTTTGTTCTTATTTCAGCCTTGGAAGATTGTATGCTTCTAGAATTTATACATTTCTTCCAGATTGTCTAATTTGTTGGCATATAGTTGCTCATAGTATTATCTTAAATTTTTTTGTATTTCTGTGGTGTCTGTTGTCACGTCTCCTCTTTCATTTCTGATTTTGTTTATTTGGGTCATCTCTCTTTTTCTTGATGAGTCTGGTTAAAGATTTGTCAATTTTATTTATCTTTCAAAAAAAACCAGCTCTTAGTTTCATTGATCTTTTGTATTGTTTTTTGGTCTCTATTTCATTTATTTCCACTCTGACTCCATCACCTGCTTTTAATTCTGTGTAGCATTATTAATAGAGAGTTGTTTCTTGTCTGTCTTTACCCACCAAAGTATAAGTTAAATATCCAGGAATTTTCAGAATACTTTTGGGATTTCTCTTAGACTCTATATTCATGTTCATGTGGGCCAGATCAATCTGTTCATGGCAGGCATCTCCATTTGACGTCACTTTGGGCCCCATAGATTTCTGCCAGAAGGGCACTTAAGGGTTGGGTGCTCATAGCATGAGCCTTCCAGAAAACTTCACTGAGAAACATGAAACATACAGTGGAGACTACGGATGTGCTTTAACTGCCTCAAGATCCCATCCTCTCAGCTGGTGTCCATGCTCCATTTCCCTCGGCTCCAGTTGTTTATTGTTGAGAAGTGTTCCGTGGTTCCTACAAACAGTCCCCTCTCCCCCTTCCCCCCAGCCTGGTGGAGATGCACTCAGATCATGCTGGCAGGTAGCCAACGGCATGGATCTCAGATCCCGTGGCCTTCGGGTGAGCTTCACAGCTCAGGTCCAGAGAAGGGCCTTCCCACAGCAAGCTTACCCAGCATTTCCGAGCAGGGCAGGGGGCCAGGGCAGACGTGGGCACACCCAAAGATGAGGCAGCTCCCAGGCCCCTCCTGAGAGCTTACAGCTCAAACCCTACCCGGAATTGGCTGCTTGCGTGCACGGGGGCTAAAACGGTGTTAACCATCTTGTAGCTCAGCTCACTTTGGTTCAAGGCTCAGCCTGACCTACCCTGCTCACCTCTTCACCCTCAGTGGTCTCCCCTCCTATCTCCCCCTCTGTGAGCTGACTGTAAGCCCCAGACAGCCACTTCCCCTGTCTCGGGGACTTTGCACATGCTGTCCCCCCCTCCCTGCCTTCACCAGGCAAACTCTTGCTTGTCCTCCAGCTCTCTGTTCAGACATTACCTGATTCTTTTAATAATATCTATCCAACAAGTATTTATTGTGTGCCTCCAATTTACTGGATTGCCAGGAGCTTTTCTAAGTTCGGGCAAAACTGTAGTGAACAGAACAGACAAAACCCCACCGTCATGAACATATGTAGTAGTGGAGGATTAACAAGTACGTAGATGTGATGTGCGTAGCATGAGCTCTATAACAAATAGTAACAGGAGAGCAGGAAAGCTGGGATGCTATTTTCTACGGGCACACAGGTGAGGAGGTGTTTGAGCAGCAACCTGACTGACATTAGGGTATAAAGCAGCATGCAAATGTCTGGAGAAGAGCATTCAGCAGAACATTTGATGCAAACAGAGGCCCTGGCCATGGCTTGGTGTGCAGGGAGCAGCAGGGGCGCCGGTGTGGCTGGAACGCAGAAAGGAAGGCAGGCAGGGCCACCGCAGGTCACCTTGAGGATTTCGGGTTTATTCTGTGTTGGAAACCAATGGAGGCTTGCGCATCAGGGCGTGGCATAATCTGGCTCACCTCCTCCTGAAGCCCCCTGGCTCCCTGACGGAGCACCCTCCCTTCCCCCTGCTAGCCCACTTCTCAGTACTCAAGTGTTTCTGTGTCTGTTCCCCATCTGTGTGCCTTTGAGAGCAAGCGCAGAGTCTCATTCACCATCCCCTCTTTAGTGTCTTGCACACAGCCCACATGCAATAAATGTGATCAAAAGAACGAACACATGATTCTCACAGCCAACATCTCTGAGGTCCTGCCAGGGCGGCGTGTTGGTCTCCTACGAGCGTTAGGATGCATGCCCGAACCCCCGTACAGGTACCACATAACAGGCATCAGCCTTTCTCTTTTAAAGCAGATCGACCCATCTGAGCAAAAGACTCTGGCCAATCTGCCGTGGATTGTGGAGCCGGGACAAGAAGCCAAGAGGGGAATTAATACCAAGTATGAGACCACGATTTTCTGATACTCACCGTCCTCCTGTCCTCGCGGTGCCTTGCACGCCGAGCAGTCCGGAGCAGGCTTTCCTTCCCGCCTCCGTTTCCACCCAGCCTAGGAGGAAGACTGCTCTGCTTGTGTGGCCTTGTCACAGGCGAAATGCCGCTGGCCATTCCTGGGGACGTTCTTTGTGCACCAGTGACAGAAAGTACAGCCAAGACTTTCCAGCCGTAACCCCTGAGAGGCATGAGTTGAGATGTTCGCTGACTCCCCTCCCCGCCACCACCCAAGGTATTTCTAGTGACTTGGCCCCAACACTGGCTTTGTTGTAGTTGGGGATAACACCTTTTAAAAAAAAAGAAAAAAAAAGTACAGGGGATCTCTAATACTGCCTAAAAATATAAAAATCTTGGGTTTTTCGCTGTCAGCGGTTTTAAAGGTAGCATCAGAACAACCCCCATAAAGCATCTGTAAAATCATTACACCACTGAATACCCTTTCACACAACAGGACAAAACCACTCTCGTGGTTACCAGGAAACCCTGCTTCCCAATTTCTATATTTGTGGATTTTATATGTAATCAACTATGTCAGATAAAGAGAACCTTTACATCTATGGACTGATTCATGATTTACGAATGATTTAAAAACAGAGGAATTTATTATGCACAGAAAAATGTGTCTTGTATTAAATATTTTTACTAAAAGGATGTTTCATTAATGCATTGATAAGAAAATTAGGTTAGTTGTGAGGGATATTTCTGGTGTCATTTCAAATAACTAAATTTCTACTGCTACTACCAAGAAGACTGGCTCAGGCGTGGCTAAGTACTGATGGCACTCTGACCAGAGCAGGAGATTCAGGCAAGCAGACCAGGGTCTGACCCAAAGTGCTGATGCAGCCATAATCCTGCAGAGATTGGGTTTTTTTTAAAATCCTCAGTGTTTTAAAGAACATGTTTAAAAAACAAATTGGGGCTCCTGCTGTCAAGATTTCTGTCGTGGAAACCTTGTTTGAGAAAGGTGTTAATAAAATTCTGTTGCAAAAAAAAATTTTTTCTAGAAAAAATAAATACAAAAAAAAAAAAAGATATTCCAAAGTAATAAAACTCTTTTCTTGAAAGAAAAAAAATAAATAAATGTTTGCTTACTATTTGATTAAATAAAATTTACTTACATTTCTTTAAGGCATTTTAATTTTTTTAATGTCTCTGTGGAGTATTTGTATGATAAATACCATAATGTGTATTTATGTAGAGTCAAATTATATAAACAGTACCAATATCATTATAGAAAAATATAACATTTTAATGTATATTGTTCTAACCAATCATATATTGTGAATCCTTTTGAATTTCACTATAGCGATATTGATAAATTGTGGGATTGTCTTAATGTTGTTTTTTTTAATTAACCAATATTATTTTAAACCTGAGATTATCAGTTATGTTCATCAGTTGGTGAGTTTGAGAGGATAACTAAATTTTATTTCAAACTGACAAATGTATATGGTTTTAGTTCAGTGTTGAAAATTTTTAATACAATATTAAATTACTTGAACTGAACAGTTCCTTGTATATATTTTGCCTATTCACTGTTGATATGTATGTACTAAACAGAGGGTGAAATAACACATATATGGTACCAAAAGGAAATTGTATAGGAGCAAAGTAAATAGTCGCTCTGCTGAAACAGAAACATATGTGTAAATATGCTTGGGCTTCCAGTTATAAATTTTGTAATTTTTGTCATTATTTATATCCTATAAAAAAGCACACAAAATAAAAAGGAAATTGTACAGCCACTGGTGCTTGGCATCGTTCTGTGAGCACCTTCCTGCTTCCGTTTAGGAACAAAACCAAAGGACAAGTCATCTCAGCATTCACAGCTAAAGGTATCTTTTAACTGGCAAAATTATTGAGAAAATTGGCTCATTTCCAGATTCTACTAATCTAAGAAAGATACAGTGGCCTTTAAAGCTTGAATTTCAGCCCAAAGCCCCATTGTCTTTGTTGAAATACTAAAGTGGGCTGTAAGGAGGAATTGCCAAAAACAGAAAATTCTAACAGAGGAAGGACCACTAAACTGGATCACTTTTATAGGACAACATAGATGGCAGGTTGGGGAAAAAAAACATTTGCACATGTTTGTCTTAGCTTGGGCTGCTATAACAAAATACCATAGATGACAGGGCTTAAACAACAAATTTGTTTCTTAGTGCTGTTGGCTGGAAAGTCCAAGACCAAGGCGCCAGCAAGGTAGTTTTCATTGTAAGGCCTTTTCTCTTGGCTTGTAGGCAGCTGGCTGTGTGCTCATGTGACTTCTGTGACTGCAAGCAGAGGGTGGGGGGAGCAGCAAGCTCTTCTTCTTCTAAGGGCACCAAGGCCATCAGGCGGGCCCACCCTCATGAGGCCCATCTCCAAATACCATCACTGTGGAGAATCAGGGTTTCAACATATGAATTTGAAAGGGCTACAAACATCCCATAACAACATCTGCCAATCCTTTCATTCTTCCTAAAACACGTGCCAGCTGTGAGGTGAGTGACCCAAGGGCCAGTAGAAACACACTGGGAAGATCAGTGATTGACATTCATATCCTGTGACTTTCAGATCTCCGTGCTGCTGGGTCCAAGTCTGTTACTCTCCAGAACCCACACCACAGCAATCTCAGGGTGCTTCCGGCCTGACATGCAGAGGCCCAGAGCTTGGGGCCCAAAGAGCTAAAACCAGGCCGAGGTCGAGGTGGGGTGACCTTCACAGAGGCAGAAAGAGGTTTCCTGAAGGAAGGTTTGGGCCAGAAATTTAGATGATAATGTTTTTTATATATTTATATATATAATTTTTTTTTTAGCTGAGCCATCCTGCCACCTATTGGCAGCTCAGCAGCAGCTCAGCTCGGGTCAGGGCTCGAACAGCTGTTGCTCAGAGCTCAAACTCTTGAGTGAGCTCTTAACCAACTGAGCCACTCAGCCAGCCCTACATGGTAATGTTTTGATTGGACTACTCTGGCCCCTTTTTATCTTTGCTAACCACCAAGAGGTCAGTAATCCTATTTGTTATATCTGTGGACCAAATGCCTCTCTGTATCAGTTCCAGGCCCAGCACAAAGCAGGTGGCAGTCTCCCATTAGGTAATTGAAGAGTTCAACAAACAGAATACTTATATAGGTGTTGGCAGCATGTAGGGCAACAGAGGAGTGGAGCCGTATCCCTGGGCTGGTGACAGCCTGAGGGAGATGGGAAAGAAAGCGGCTGCGTGGAGGGGCTGCCAGGTTGAAGGACATGGCCAGGTGCAGGGGCCCTCGGCGAGGGAGCCAGGGATTAAAATGCCCTGATCTCACTTTCTACCTTCTATCCTGCATTACCTGAACCCATGGAAGCCAGAGGGCAAGGAGCCTGCAGATAACAGTCTACACAGGGCAGCCTCCAGTCACCCATCAGGGCAGGGAGAAGGGAGGAGGGGATCTGAGGGGCAAACAGGAGAGACCCAGCCCACATACTAAAGAAGGAACTTGCAGCTCACTTGAAGGGTAAATTTGACAGATTGGTAAGTGCAGTATTCACGGGAGTGGGGATCCTTGAATGATAATATTATTCCAAAAAAAGACTTCAATTCAATTACTCCATTCATTTTTTTTCTTCTTAAATTATATTCTATGATAAATTTGGGCGAATGAACCCTATGAAAATTATGCCTACTTAGTTCATTAATAAGTCATAGAAGTGATTTTTCTCAAGACGTATCAGATTCTCTCTTGGAATGCTTGGGAATATTGCTGGTGCATATAATGTCTGGATAGGATGGCGCAGAAGACAGACTTAAAGAACAAACGGCCCAGTTTCAAAAATCAATAAAAATTCACACTTGGACTGAGTAACATTGCTCCTGAGCTATTTCTGAAAAGAAATGAAAATCAGGTAAGCGGGCTAGCTTCCAGAGTTCTTACTACTTCCACAGAATAACGACCATGTTCAGAAGTCTATATGGAATAAAGCTTTTAAGACATTAAGGTTTTCAGGCTATTCACTTAGTATGTTTCCTGTGAAAATGAAGCAATCTGACAGTTATGAACACATTTTCTTAAAACTGGGTAGCCGGCCAACACAGGCCAGCAGGGTCTCACTGCACTGAGGCGCCATCCAGCTCCCCGCTACTCCATTGCTCTTTCCCTCACACCCAGCCGGCCCCACGCCCATTTATTGCTGTCTGTGCAAACGAGCCCAGTCATCTGCACGTCCCAGCAACAGAGTCCTGCTTCCCACAGAAACCAGTTCCCAAGCAGGCCGAGAACTTTCCTTAGGCCTATTGCCCAATCACCATCCTGCACATTGTGAGATTCCCTTAGTGCTCACAAACCACACCTTGTTTTTTGTGGTGAAATTAATCCTGAGACTTTGGTGCTGACCTGGGGAATACCTGTTCTACTGAACTGTTTCCTGTCTTCATCTGAAGCCAATGTGCTCCTTGAGAACTCGCTCTGTGCTCAGGTGGCGCCGTTTTACTTTGCTAACGCAAAGATGATCGTTCCTACCCAATATATTGCACTGTGTGTATAACTCAGAGAATCACAGCTGAAAGTTATCACCAACATAGTTGTTGTTTTTTTTCTCCAAAACCCCAGAGACCTATGTTTGTAAAAGCTTCACGGGCATTTAACTTTGCAAAAAGTAGTTAATGACCGGTGATGCGAAGACTTAGACATACATCAGACTGAAATAGATATCCTCCATGGAGCAGCTCCAGGGGGCTCACCCCAGTCGAAGGCGGCAGCCACAGCAGCTGAGGTTTTCTCAAGGCTCATTGCTTGGTTCAGACAGCCAAGAAGCCCGCGAGTCGCCTAACGGACTTATAAGCACAGTGGAGCTAAATGCGTGTCTTCCAGGTCCTGCCATTTAGGAGACATCTGAGTGCCACAGTAAGAGCAGCCGAGATGGAGTCACCCTACACCAAGTCAGCAAACAACATGGTAATAAGAGCCGTTGAAAAGCAATCCATATTCAATCCTCAGTGTAATTGTCCTCTGGATGTCTCAGTGCCTCAATCAAGCATCCCAACAGCTGCTCCCGGGTGGGGGGGTGGGGGGCCTATGCCTCCCTCTTATTGCCTCCTGTCAATAAGACTCATGAGGAGGGAAGTCAAGATGTCTCCAAGTAAGAAGCAACATCAGCTGTTTTCTGACATTTGAGAGGCTGATTTCTCACTGCCTCTCAAAGCTGCATGCTCAGTTTTCTGAGACAAAAAAACAATGTGCTAAGTGTTGAGTCAGGGGAGACTGGGAAAGCAGAAAAGCACAGGAAATCCGGGAGTCCCATTTTTTGCAGGCCATTTCTGGGGTGTGGTTGTGCAGGAGGGGAGAGGGGCTTGCCAACTCAGATGCTTTCAGGGCCACATGCGTGCGGGGAGGGCTGATCCACAGGGCACCTGCCTCATCTCGGGACAGCTGCTACTCAGTTCCAGCTGATTGTTGACAGGCAGAAAGGAAGAACCTGAGTCAACAGATTTTCTAAGAAATCAGGATTTTTAGGCCAAATTACCAGATTTTCAAATGCTGGCAACAAATTCAGTTTTAAAAAAATAAGTGTGGGCCAAACAAAATCCATGTGTGGGTTGGGCGTGGTCTACACATCACTTGTTTGAGACTTTCTGAGACTCCACAAAGTCTCAAGGACCTCACAGCTAGATGTCCAGTTACTTATCAGAGGAAGAACAGTGTCTGTCACTGGGGTGAGCGGTGGCGAAGGCAGGGATGCAGGGTCACTGACATCTGTTGAGCTGATCTTATACACCAACTTAGTTTATGGGACTATCAGGCAGGAACTAGTAGCAAAGATCAGAAACAACCGTCTCTTAAACAAGGGAGGGGTTGAATTTTTTCTAATGTAACATGAACTTCAGAGCTAGTACAGGGCTGGAATGGTAGCTCCACAGTTGACATTAAAATCCCAAATTCCTTCTATATTTCTACCCTGCCATCCTTAGTGTGTAGCATCCATCTGCAAGGTCATTTCATGATCACAAAATGGCTGCTGAAACATCATCCAGCACATACACATTCCAGGTAGGAAAAAGGATAGTCTGGACTAATGGGCGCCTGCCTCCCAACTGAGT